GTTCAAGTATCTGATCGTGACTGAGTGTATATACAGGGGGCAGGTATAGCACACACCTGTATGGAGTTCTCCTGCAGGTTGAGGTATCTAGTGTTGACGGAGATGCTCTCTGGGACTTCCTCCAGGTTCCGCCTTGTGCAGATCACTCGACTGGCCTGATTGGAGCAGCTGCACAGGGCGGGGCAGGCGGTAGAAGCCCCACCCACTCCCCCACCCCCTCCCCCGCCTCTCCACGGCGACGGGGGAAGGAGCCACAGCAGCAGGACCAATAGGAGGCGGAGAGGGGAGGGGCTAGAAAGGCCGGTCACCGTGGCAACGCGCATGGCAACTGGGTCATGACCCTTCCACCCAATCTGGACAGTTTATGAATTGCTGAAGAGCTTTTAGATTGATATATATTTAAATTTCTGTTTTTTAAAAAAACGTTTTTAAAAAATATGTTTTTCCTCAGTAGACAGAGATGGTCCCAGCAGGAGCCTTGGAGCCTTGTTACTGAAAATAAAAAAGAAACAGAGAAGAAGCTTTAGGACATGAAGAGATTCATTAGGATACAGTGCAGCTGGTGTGAGACCATCAAGAGAGAATGGAGAAGAGAGAAAAACAACAGGAGAGAGAGACACAGAGAGACACACACAGGACAGGAGAGAGACACAGAGAGACACACAGAGAACAGGAGAGAGACACAGAGAAAGAGAGACACAGGACAGGAGAGGGACACAGAGAGAGACACACAGGACAGGAGACGGGCACAGAGAGACACACAGAGGACAGGAGAGAGAGACACAGAGGACAGGAGAGAGACACAGGGGACAGGAGAGAGAGAGAGAGACACAGGACAGGATAGAGGCAGAGAGAGCCACACAGAGGACAGGAGAGAGAGACAGAGAGAGAGACACACACAGGACAGGAGAGGGACACAGAGAGAGACACAAAGGACAGGAGGGGTACAGAGAGAGATGAGGGGTACAGAGAGAGACGAGAGGGTACAGAGAGAGAGGAGGGGATACCACAGAGCACAAGGCAGGTGGACACCCCAGTGCACATGGGGACACTGTCTCCCTCCAGTGAGATAACCCACCACTGACAGCACCCAGCTGAGCCCATGAATGAACAGAACCGGACACCTCCTTCTCTCGATCTCTGCTCCACAACTCCACCAACTTCTCCTGCCTCTATGAACCCTGCAGACGGGCCCTGTCCTGCATCTAATTACTGTAATATCCCCCTTCTCTGTGTCTGAGCCTCTATCTCTCTGATGTAGGTGTTGTTGACAAGGCAGCTGTTTGTAAGGATACTGAAACTGCTCATTATAGGTGAGAGAGAGATTACAGGCATTCTGCACAAACACTGTCACCACACATGAAGTCAGCAAAACACTACCCTCTCTTAATCTCTGGCTCTCTCCTCCTCTCCTCTTCCTGATCTCTCCCTGTTCCTGCCTGGAATCGGCTTCCCTGCCTCCCTCTGTCTCTCGGCTCAGAGAGGAGGGTGTTGCCATGGTTATCTTTTCACAGAAATCTTTCCTGTTTTGCTCCAGCTGCATGCCTGCCTCCCTGTCTCCCAGCATACACAGCTCAGCACAGCTCAGCGGCTGAAACACACACTGACTGGGCACTCCAGTACATGAACACTGCACTGAGAGAGAGAGGGGTTCATACAGACACACTGACTGGGCACTCCAGTACATTAACACTGCACTGAGAGAGAGAGGGGTT